AGTGATCAATGAAAATTCAATGAATCGACATAATAGTGGTTTTCATTTTATTATTGGTTATGCTGGTAATGAAAAACATGAAAAATCACGTGGTTTATTAGAAACAATAAGTTCTGTTGTTGCGCAAACACAAACTTCTGGTGATAATATAGAATTAAGTATCATATCTGATGAAAAACAACCATCAAATCCATATGGTGTGAAATTTTGTGTTTCCTTCTCTTCCGATGAAGATACAGACGATGATGATGATGGTGATGATGATGATGATGATAATGATGATGATGACGATGATGATGATGATGAAGAACTAACTGAAATTGTTACTGATCATGGAAATAGAGGAAATATATTTAAAAAAATGCCATGTCCACCATCACCAAAAAATAAAACACAATTTGATGATGTTAAAAAACTTGTATAATTTGTTAAATAAATAAAATGTTTGTATTGTTTGATGAGTTGTATACATGAAACATATTCCCTTGTTTTACTAAGCTAATACAACTGATTCTTTACTTGAACTAATATTATTTACAATATCCTCTATACAACAGAAAAACTAAATGAATTTTTTCTATCACAGAGTGGTCCAAAAACAAAATTCAGCCCTTTTTTTGCAATATTATTTCTGCCCCTCTGCAATTAATTTTTTGGTTCAAGTGTTTTTGTAATAGACAGATCTTAGGATAATTTACTAGAGAGATATATTTTTATTTTGAAAATATTCCACCATAAATAAAGACAAATAACAAACTAATTATATATGATATCTATGCTGGAACGGCGTACTTTCATCTGGAAAACATGAAAAGCTCTCACCAATAATTACTTCTGAGTTGAAAGGTGACTACAAGTTTTTGACAACAGAATGATATATTTGTAGGGTTATAGAAATAGACTTGCTTTATTTAATGATGTATGTATCATCAGATTCTACTGTATATCATTGACATGTTAATTAGTGGCACCACCTTCGTCGCATTTTACCATGGTCATGGCAAAGGTGGCATCACCAATTAACATGTCAATGGTACATAGTAGAATCTGATAATACATATACCCTTAGATAGAGGAGGTCTATTTCTACGAGCGATGGGATAAGTTCAATTCGAACTTTTTAAAAACTAGGTCGGTTCGGTTTGGTTTGAGGCAGAGGTAGGACGAGTATAAGTAGAGCAAGTAGAAGTACTTGGTATTTTTGCTTGATGTACAAATATAATAAACTTCGTCTTTAAAATTGACTACCTCTGATAAGTTTTCAAAGTCATCGTAACGTCATCTAATGAAAACATAAATGAAAATAAGAATATTTTAATAGAGCTTTTCTTTCTCTCATACGTTGATAAATTCAATGCAGGACACTTATAAAAATTATCTATTTTAATAGTTAGAGTTTGTTTAAAATTTTGATGTATGTCTATGAATAATGATACTTGTTCGACTTACCATCATAGATAAATATAGTTCTCGATGACACTAAGAAGAATATACATGAATTCAGATCCATGCTTTACAACCTAGAAGAGATTATTACTTCTCTGTATTTTCTACTCATCGATAGGATTTCTTGAATATATCTTAGATTTCTCCGAAAGTTTAGGTTAAAACTATTAATTCTTTCTAATAGCATTGAGCTTAAAATAAATGCAATCTATTAGATCTATTTTGATATATGACTAATAATTTAAAAAACTTAATACACATACGAGGGAGCATTTCCAAATGACTCACTCCATTTTAATTCATTCATACCTCATTCGATAGAGTATATTGAGATAAGAAAAAGTCTAAAAGGATTCGTGCCATTGGCCTAGTGATGAAAAATTATGACCGTTTTACTGAAATTTTTACTGTGAGCTAGGCATTTCGGAAAAACCCCAAAATGAAGAGTTTCGAGTTGAAATTTTACCTATAGATCGATTTTATAGTCATTAGATATTCCTGAAAAATTCAATGAAAGCGAACGTGTCTTTATCGAGTTATTCGATTTTCAAAAAAAACAGCTGTTTACCATAGGAGAGCACAATAGTCCAGTTTAGTTGGACATTGAATATCTAGATGAAGACACGTTCATTTTCATTGAAACTTTCAGGACTATCTAATGACTATAAAATCTATCTATAGGTAAAATTCTAGCTTGAAACTCTTCATTTTGGTTTTTTCCGAAATCTCTGGCTCATAGTAAAAATTTCAGTAAAACAGTCATAATTCTTCACTCCTAGGCTAAGAGCACGAATCCTTTTAGACTCTTTCCTATCTTAATATACTCTATCGCATGATGTATGAATGAATCAAAACGGAGCGGAGCACTAGGAAATGTTCCCTCATTAGGATAAAAATTTGTTTTAACAAAAAGTTATAGAATCATCTGAAAAGTCATTTGATGTATCCAAAGGCTAATTGTTTCTGAATTGAACATCTTTCATTCCTCATACAATACATCAGAAATTTGAATAATGCTTTACATAAAAAAAAGTGTTAAATTTTCAAAAATAAACAAAAGTTCGAAATCCGTTTTAACTCTTTGACAGTAATAATGAAGTGTTCAGAAAGATATTTCAAATACGCAAAGAGACATTACTTTGTATTTGCAAGTAAAAGTACCATTACAAATACTTTCATCTAAGCTCTGGTTTATGATGTTTTTTGGTTTGGTTCCATAAAAAAAACGAACAAATCCCATCTCTACAAGCCTACATATATCCCATTCTATAGTCAAAAATTATCAAAAAACTTATAGTTAACTTTGGTGTAACTATAGAGCTACTGGTATACTCGCTGTAGAAAAAAACCAGCTTTGATCTAAAGATGAATTGTTTTTCTTTTAAAGATTTTCAAAGAAGATAAGAAAAAGTTCGATTAACTGTTGTGAATCAATCTTTTCGAGACAATAGTTTTAAATTTGATATTTTATTCGATATAAATTTACAAATAATTTATGTAGAACATAAATTTAAAAAAAAAAGACTATATTCTTTTTATTTTCTTAACCTTTGAAATTATACTTAGGATATTCTAATTTATCCTTTTTTTTTACAATATGAAACAAGAGAAAATATAATAAATACTATTGACATAAAGTTTTTTTCTTTCAAACACACGTTCGTCATGACATTAATTTATCGTGTTTAGTTCCGGTTGTGTTGGATTTATAGAAAAAAAAAAATTTATTAACATATTTGATTTTATCTTATTTGCCCAATTTAATTGATAGAGAAAAATGAAATGCAGTCAATCTAATTTTTGAAAAAATTTTAATAAACATAGGTTAAACAAGTAACTTAAACCAATCTTGTGAATTTAATTTTATGAATATTCTCTTTTATTTTTATATTTTGTGCTTTTATCATCCATTAAAGATACATTGGTAAATAGATCATTCATCTATTTTTCTACTTTCATCGATGCTTGTCGAGAATGCATGATTATGTCATTTATTAGTTTTATTCAATCATGTAGAGACAACAACACTCGACTTTCTGTTCATTTATTTTTTTTCCTCAAAAAATATAGATTGCGAGAGAGCGATAACTAACAACGCTAATAACATAAAATAATAGGTAAGTAGCTCAAATTATTAGAAATATTAGTCTTTATAAGATAATAGTATATTCACATGTATGTATACCAACACTGATAAACATCTGCTTATTGTCTCAGGTAGATTGAACATCATTTTTTTTTTCTTTCTTTCTTTCTCTTTATATCTATCGTAAATGCAATAGTTCTAAAAGAATTTCTAATTTCTACATTATATTTCTATGAAGAAAAAAAATCAGATTAATAATAGATAAGAGGTTCTTCTTCTTTTTTTTTTGTATTTTACTTATCAAAAAAATAAAACATTTATTAAAATTTGAATTTAACAATTTTTTATTTCTAGAGAAATATTTATTTTCCAACAACGTGTAGTGTTCATAAAATAAATAGATTAAAATGGCAACAAGTGGTAACCATACTCCTAGTGGAATTCAAAATAAACGTTTTCATCACTTAACAAACGCCAATATGTATGGACGTGCTGAATTACTTGGTCTTCGAAATAGTTTATATAAATCAGCTTATAACAATAGTTCAAGAAATGAGGTAAATAAAAATAAAATCTATAAAAAAAAAACAATATTTCCCTTCCCGAATTTGTTTGTTTTTTTTTATATTAGCAAATGAATGTCAATGAAAAATTTGTTCGTGCATGTGAAAATGGAGATTATAGTACAGTTCATCAAATTCTTCGTGACAATCCTAAATTTAATATTGATGTTACTAATCAATTAGGTCGTACAGCAATGCAATTAGCTATTGAAAAAGAACATCTTGAAGTAGAATAATTATTAATATTCTTTATAGAAATAAAATATATATATATGTAAATATGTTTTTTTTTTTGTTATAGGTTGTTACACATTTATTATCTCAATGTGATGGACAAAAAATGCGTGAAGCTATTTTATTAGCTATTTATCTTGGTCATGTACAAATAGCTGAAGCATGTTTACGTCATCCAAAATTTAAAATATTATCTGAACGAAGAGCTATTACAGCTGATGAAGAAGCATTTTGGCATACACCATCATCAAATGATGCACAATTTTCGCCTGATATAACACCATTAATATTAGCAGCACAATATAATCGAACTGAAATAGGTAAATAAGAATTTATTTAAATATTCATATTTATTTTAATTTTGTCTTTTTGTTTTTCTAGTTCAATTACTCTTAATGGGTGGTGATCGTATAACAAAACCACATGATTATCATTGTAAATGTTTACAATGTCATCATAAATTTAAATTTGATTCATTACGTCATGCACAATCTCGTTTAAATGCATATCGTGGTTTAGCAAGTGAAAGTTATATTAGTTTAGTATCAGTTGATCCAATTTTAACAGCATTTGAACTTGGTCGAGAATTAAGAGATCTATCAGCAAAAGAAAAATATTTTAAAGTAAATAAAAAAAGAATTGAATTTTATTTTTGAAATCAATATTATTTTCATTTAGAATGAATATATGAATTTAGCTGATCAATTAAGTGCATATGCTGTTAAATTACTTGATAAAGTTCGTGGTCATAGAGAACTTGAGTGTGTTTTAGGAAAAACTGGAAAAGAATCAGAAGAAAAATATTTACTTTTAGCTAGACTCTATTTAGCTATTAAATATGAAGAAAAACCAGTAAGTAAAATTTAGTTGGAAAAAAAAAACAAAATCTTTTTTTATACCTCCTGCTCGAAAAATATGCTCTTTTCAGACAAAGCGGGAAATCATTTTTTTTTTGCTTTTCTGGTCGCGCATGTCAGAATTCTCAAAGAAGATTCATTGTAGTCATTTG